ATATTTCCCCTGCTGATGAAATATTCACTCTTTCTATCATTCCTCCTCTTAGCTCTTCCTGTTATTTCAGAATTTAATGCAAAAACTTTGATTACAGCAGCATCTAGGGGGAATCAACTGTACATAAAAACTAGATGCTTTTTCACATAATTCTTAGCACTAAGCAACAAAGATACTTACCAGTTTCCCATTTAAAATGGCTACATTGTCTATTCTAATCTTTAAGAAGTCACAATTTTTCCAACATTTATTACTTTTCTTTTTAATCTCTCTCTTTTTTTCAGAAAGAAACTTAAAACCATTTTACAAATTAAGGCACTAAAAAGCAATAAATTATGTTTTAAAAACTTAAAGAGCTTCGTTTTCTAACATTTCCAATTACCTTGGAGCATGCATCTGTAAGCAGATTCAGATATGGCGTAGATGTGCGGAGGCATCTCATGGCGTTTCTTCCCTCTGTACATTTCAATAATATTCTCAGAGTAAATTGGAAGATTTTTGTAAGGATTTATGACTACACAGAAGAGTCCAGAATAAGTCTAAAATGAAAATAAAACACAGTGTTAAACAAAACAAAACAAAACTGTATTTCTCAGTCAGAGTCCACTCAAGAGACAGAAACACACAGTAATTTGCACAGGGACCTTTGTCACGTAGGTAAGTTATTCATCCACCAAATTAAACCTAGCCCACAATATGGGCAATTTTCTTTGTCTAAGTTTTCATTGTGCTCTGGGTGCAAATTTACAAAGTAGATTCATTTTACTCTCAACAGTTCACATTTGGTTTCACGGCCAATATGGGCTATTTCCTACGATGAACCACAAGCAGGTCTCCCACCGATAGTTTATTAAGTGCAAAGTGGCACTTCCTGGACTTAATTCTCTCATCAGTTAAATAGAAATAATGTGTTTCATGACTTCACAGTTTTGTCCTGAGGTTCGGACAATGTCATTTGCCTTTTTAAGTTCATTCGCTCAGCAGCGTACAAGGTGTACAAAAGTCCATTAGTACATCTTCAAATTCCACACTGCCACTAACCTTGAAGAAGCTACCATTTGTCAAATTTCAGAAGAGTATCAAAGAAGAATATTCATAATTATCTGAAGAAGCTATTCTTCTCTTTTCCAACTAAATTACCTGAGTTTTTTAAGTCAGCTGGGTTTTCTTCATATTTGTCACTGAATAACATACTACAATTATTTAAACGAATAAGCAGATATGAGACTCCGGCTATCTCTTTTTAAGGTACTAAAGACATTTATAAAAATGTAGAGCTTGTTACTCTTCTATTGTTTTTGTCTTGGGAAATATAGTTTGCTTGTTTTTGATTAAAAAGACTATGCTACGTGTTAAGGGTTTACCCACGTTATTTTTAAATGAGATAATAAATACATTTAAATTTTGTTTTAATTTCTAACACAGTAAATATTGATAGATATAAACCATAAGGACAAAAGCTCTTGGGGGTCCTCAATGTCTTAAGAACCACTAGTCGAGAAGAAAGGAGCCCTGGGAACACGGTGAAGGGCTCGGCTGCTAATCAAAAGACGGCAGTTGGAACTCACAAACAGCGGCTCCGTGGGAGACGAGACCTGGTCATCTGCTCCCTGAAAGGCCACAGCTCGGGAAACCCCATGGGACAGCTCGGAATTGAACTCAATGGCATTCAATGGCACCCAACAACAAAAAGTCAAGAGACAAACTTTCCTGATCAGTTTAGTAGTCATCACTCAGGACTGACAGCACGAACGTTATCACTTTGGGGGTTAATTTAGATAGGCATTTTGCAAAGACGCTCAGTTGTATTATGAAATAGACCTTGTATGTAAGATGATTCAGGGAGACCAAAATGTAAAGCTAGAGGACACGAGGGAAGGCTGGGGGGCTGCTGGTGTTCAGCTCCATGACCCGCCTCCCCAACGAACACTAAGGCAGATTCTAACAGCCATGTCCACAAAGGCTGAAACCCCTGCCAACCGCCACCAGAAGGCTACTCTACTTTGAATACTGCAGTTGCTAAAACTAAATACTGATGCAGTTATGAGGATGAAAGCCAGCCCAGAAAAAGAGGTTAGTGATCTTAGCTCTCTCTCCAGCTGTTCTCCCCATATCTTTCCTCCACTTAAAACCACAGGCTCAGGTGAACACAATTCCTACCTGGATTAGAGGTACAGAAGGGGCAAAAGGCAAAGAGCCTCTGCCCGAAGTTCACTTGGGCTGTTTGCTGATGCCTTACTTCTGAACCTGACTAGCTGGACATCTGCCCTTGTTTGCCTCTTCCCTGTTGATTGATTAAGTCTTCAGACTCCTGGCTTTCTCAAATACACAGTACACCTCACTGGCCTGTGGCTAGCTCTCGGGGTTTCTAGACTAGCTTGCACTTTCTCCCAATCAAGTCACTTGCCAACCTAGTCCTATCTCTCTTGGCCATCCATAGGACAAAAAGGCAATGAGCAATAATAAAAACAAAGCCATATTAAGAGTGGCAAAACTAAAAAGTGGCGATTTCAATTTTTGTTTTACTGAGGATAATTTATATAGACAGTAAAGTTAACAAATCATAACTATGTTGTTGTTGTTGTTATGTGCCGTCGAGTCGGAGCCGACTCATAGCAACCCCTCCTTGGGTTGCTGAGGCAGTATCACTAGGGGGCAGTATCACTATGAAAGTAGATTGCCCAACCTTCCTTCCAAGGAGTGGCTGGTGGGTTTGATCCTCTAGCCTTCTGGTTAGCAGTCAAGTGCCTTAGGCACTATGCTACCAGAGCTCCCATCACAACTATAGATCTGGAAAATTTTTTATATATGAAATCTTGCTTTTTCACTCAAAAATTACATTTTTAAAAAAGTGAGATCATAGGCTATCATGAAGCTACAGATCATATTCTTCACATTAATAAGAAGCAAATAATTACAGACTGGTAAAAAGATGAGGGGGCACTTCAAGAGAGTTCAAATATGTATATTCAGTCTAACATCCATACCACTGATAGCACAGTGACATCCTAACAATGACATTTTTAATTGGAAATAATCCAACATATGTGTCTACCATGTGTTAGGCACTTGTCTAAGGTCTAGGATTATAAAGATGAGTAATACTCACAAATATGAGTATGTCATCAAAAAACAAAAGGTTAAATAATCGTCAGTATCCTGTGCTTGCTAGAAGGGGAAATAATAAATGCTTAAGTGGAAACATAACTAAACTGAAGTGCTTTAAAGAGCTAACTTCCAACAACCTAGAAACTGATTTCAAATATCAGGTAGGTTCTTGTATAACTGATGAGAAAGTCTGGTTGCACAGTGGTTAAAGTACTTGGCTGCTAACCAGAAGGTCAGTAGTTCAAATCCACCAGCCATGTGTAGGAGAAAGATGGAGCAGTCTGCTTCCATAAATTTCAGCAGGCATGTGTGCAGAGCAGAACTGCATTTTCAAGGTTGTGACATTCTGGAAGAACATAGGCAGGGCTTTCTTCTGAGGTGTCCCTGGGTGAGTTTGAAATGCCAACTTTTTGGCTAGGAGTTGAGCACTGAACCAGGGACTCCATACACAAGATACTATGCTCCTTCAAAACACATACAGTCCAGGTAAGAAGAAAATAAATATAGACTAAACAAGTGACAATATAAAAAGAGAGTGGTGCAAAAAGAGAAAGAAAAACGGAACGGGTATTGGAAACTAGCAGAGAGAGCTCTGAAGTGGAATACAGTTCAAAGCCCAGACGCTGGAAGTCATGACCATCTTGTCAGAAACCGTAAAATTAGGTAAAACATTCAGATCCAGATGGTCTTTGATGTTTTTTAAAAGATTATTAGGTCAAAATGAGAGATACAGGAATTCCTATTGAAAATAGTAAGGTCAGGTTTAGCTCAGGGGGCAGGAATGCACAGGAAAGGAGGACACAGGGAAGAGGTAACTGTAGGGAGGAAGTAGGAAGAGAGCTGTTACACCCTGAGCAACTTCAGTGCCATGAAACAGAACGTGTATGAAATGCCACTCCTCAGAAGGAAGGTTGGGCGATCTACTTCCGTAGTGATACTGCCTCGGAAACCCAAGGAGGGGTCGCTATGAGTTGGGTGCGACTCAACGGCACCTAACAACATAAAATCCTGTATGGAAAACGAATTTGCTCTGTAAACTTTCACCCAAGTTACAATAAACATTTTAAAAATCTATGGATCACAAAGGTCTCATCCACAACTGATCACGAGGGTGGTGCAAGACCGGAGAAGGTTTTGTTCTGTTGTGCATGGGACCAACTCTATAGCAGCTAACAACAACAAATATAAGACAAAAATTAAAAAAAAGGCATAAAAATGTGGTGGCAGGATGGGTCCAAGGTAAAGTCTGAAGCCCAGTCTAGCCAAAAATAGATTTTTTAACAAAGAATATGAGAATGGCCCTGACAGTCAAACAAAACAATTTAGACTTTGTCCAATATACACAATTAAGTATTAGAGGTGTGGGGAGAGAAGAAGCATTTTAGAAAATGTGTAAGTCTGGCAATCATTTAGAAAAGAGATGAAAACGGCAGGAGATGAGAAGCAGAAAGACGAGTGAAGACGCCATAACAGGCTGCAGTGCGCAACCACAGAGCACAGATGAAAGACGACCTCAGAGCTGGTTAGGAGTCCCTGGGGGGTAAACGCTTGAAGGTTCAAGTCTACCAAAGGGTACTTTGGAAGAAAGTCCCGGCAATCTACTTCTAAAAAATGAAAACCCCATGGAGCACAGTTTTACTCTAACACACTGGGTCGCCAAGAGTTGGAATCAACTCAATGCCAACTACTAGTTCATTTCACTGAGTGAGTGACTGATTGTTTTACATGCACTATTGGGGTGTTTATTAAGATTAGAAGTTACTGGGACAAGGAGTGGAATCCATTTTTATAAAATCATTTTTAATAGTAAAAATATATGTAACAAAACATTTGCCATTTCAACCATTTTTATGTGTATAATTCAGTGATATTCAAATATATTTGGGAGCTCTGGTAGCATAGTACCTAAGGCATTTGACTGCTAACCAGAAGGCTGGCAGTTCGAACCCACCAGCTACTCCTTGGAAAGAAAAGTGGGCAATCTACTTCTGTAGTGATACTGCCTCGGAAACCCTAGGAAGGGGCATTATGAATCAGATCCAACTTGACTGCAGTGAGTTTGGTTTTTTGGTAATTATATTCATCATGTTGTGTAACCATCACCATGACATCTTTCCAAACTTTTCCATCACCCTTAACAGGAACTCACTGCCCCTGAAGCAACATACCCTCCTTTCTCCCTCCCGTCTGCCCTAATAACCACTAATGAACTTTGGTCTCTATACACTTGCCTATTCCAGATAGCTTGTATAAGTGGGATATTTGTCCTCTGTTATTGTTGTCAGGTGCCACCAAGTTGATTCACAGCAACTCCAATGGACAGAGTAGAACTGCCCCATTGGGTTTGTTAGGCTTTCTGGAAGCAGACCACCAGGGACAAGCGGTTTTAGATGAGGGAAAAGGCACTACACAAATGGAAAAAGGATGAGTC